CGTACCAGTCTGTACACTCCACAAGTTTTTAAAAATTAAACAATATATAAAGTACCTAACAGACTGGCACACATGGCTACTGAATTACTAATGAACACTATTATGCTATAATAAGTTATGGTTAAAGTTATGCTCAAGTTGTTACCTAAGATGCTATGCTTCACTGAAACTATTTTGATTTTTATTTATTTTTGAGGCAGGGTCTCACTCTGTCACCCAGGCTGGAGGGCAGGCTACCAAGCAGCTGGGACTACAGGTGCATGACATCTTGCTCAGCTCACTTTTTATTTTTTTGTACAGACAGGGTAACCCCTGTGTTACCCAGTTTGATCTTGAATTGCTAGGCTCAAGTGATCCTCCTGCTTTGGCCTCCCAAAGTGCTGGTATTACAGACATGAGCCACGGCACCCAGCCAGGTATACTGATTTTAAATGGGTTACAAAAAACAAGATGCACTTTTAGACTTCCTATAATCATTAATCAGCATTTCTAAAGCATCCATTTATTCATCTCATTAAAATTTTCAGATTTAAATAGTTAATATAAACAGACATAATTTTACTTAATGTTTATTGTCCTAAGCTATCCATACATAAAATGTTCAATCTTTTTTTTGTTGTTGTTGAAATGGAGTCTCACTCTGTTGCCCAGTCTGGAATGCAGTGGCGCCATCTCAGCTCAATGCAACCTCTGCCTCCCAGGTTCAAGTGATTCTTCTGCCTCAGCCTCCCGAGTAGCTGGGAATCCAGGCACATGGCACCATGCCCAGCTAATTTTTGTCTTTTTTAGTAGAAAGAGGGTTTCACCATATTGGACAGGCTGGTCTCGGACTCCTGACCTCCTGATCTGCCCACCTTGGCCTCCCAAAGTGCTGGGATCACAAGTGAGGGCTACCGCGCCCAGCCTTCCAACTTTTCTTAATACTATCAGATGAATGTATTCTTACCAAATGTGATTTACACATTTTTCAAATGTGGATTTCTTAGACCTTTGACATTGATAGCTTTAGGCTTTTGTACTACAAGAAAAAGTCAGACACCTTTCTATTCATTTCTTAATAATTTGTTTCCGTAAAGCTAAAATGTTCACTGATGACATCATCTATCTTTGGTTAATCACAGCAAATAGTTCACATTTTAAAGGAATGCAGATACTTATTTGGATAGAAGCCTCTAACAATGTAAATATTGCAAATTTCAAGTTCTATAGTATCTCAAGTTCTAAACAGGGATAGCAACTGATTATATGTGGATTAACAATATATAGTGAATAACTGAGCACATTTTAACATGAACAACATACACAGCAGTCAAAACTTACCGTTTTTCATGTGTGTAGTATATTCAATCTGTCTTTCTTAACTGGCTCATATTGTTTCCATGTTGTTCAACTATCTGACACAAAAAGAGCTTTTCCCTTTCTTTAAAAGGATTTTGATTCAGTCACAACAGATTTTTGAAAGTTAGAGTAAAATTATGCATTTGGTCCAGGATTAGGAGGGAAGTTTTGCTTGCTAGTTTCCTTTTTAACTTACCCAGTTAGACATCAGAATAAAATGAATGGACTGTAAAAGACCTTATAACCAGTCTCTCTCATATATGAAGGTCCAACATTACACAATTCTTTACAAGAGTTGACCAGGAATGAAATGTTAACACCTTTTAGAGATGAAGAAAAACTGGAAGAATGAGATTAAGAAAATATGTGGGTAGTTTACAGCTGCTAACAGAATTGTGTGCACACATGCATGTGTTCAAAAGTGAATCTAGAAGAAAAAAAATAGGGTTTTATGCAGTCTAAGATAAAAAGTTCCAGTTTCACTTAAGATTACGAGATCTTGGAAAAATTTACAGGCTTCCTACTGGAATATGTTCTTACCTAAGGACTTGAAGCATTTATCTAAACAGACTGACTTAAGGATGCACACTTGTTAGACTTCTATGATATTACTGAGTAGATTAATTGAGAGTTCTAGCAGTAGAGAAAGCTGATTAGTTTGTGCCTGCCTATGAAGAATGACACATTATGTAAACCCACTTAGTAAAAAGTCTAAATTTTCATATTCCTAGTCCCCTACTTATCTTTTACAAACTTTGAAGGACCTGAAGTTCTTTGGACACCATCAGATTTAGTTTACAATAGTTCTGATTTTGAATTAAGAAATTATTCACGTAGTTTTAAAACAATTAAAATTTTCAGTCAGGCTGAAATTTTGTGCACTTTCTCATTTATTCAAGAAGCCCCACCACTAATATATTTAGATCTTAATATGATGGTTTTGATTCTTAAATCATTGTCCACCTAATATACCAAATAAAGATTTAAAAAGTACTGCATATGGTTTCTGTAACAGCTAAATAGATTACTAGCATTATTCTTTAACTTCAAAAGTCCAACTCATGGTCAAGATTTTATTGATAGTATAGGAAGAAAAAAATAACCACTGTTGAAAAATAAATGAAAAACATTTTATTGAGTATTACACATGCAAATTAAAAGTGAATCTATATTAAGTTGACTATTCCACAATAAACACCTATGCAATGGGAATGATCAAAACTGTCTACACAATACTAATGTGTTCCATAAATTATCCAGATGTTTTTCCACAAATATTTGGATTACCTGAATTAGCTGATTCAACAAAAGTTAAATTTTGCTTTAATATGGTAGCAGTGGCCTGCTATTAAGAAAAACATATGAATAAAAACCCTGAATAGCATAGTCAAATCTTTCAAGAAACAAGTTCACCAAAAAAGTGGCATACACCTATTTGTTATCCAGAGGAGGAAACAAAACAAAACACAGGCACTTAATCAACATCCATCAAGTGATCATCACTAACATTCTATTATTATCAGAGCAATTGTCCATATGTGAACTGTAGAGCAGAACAGACTTAAATGTCTAAAACCAGTAATCAATAATACATACAGAAATATTAACTTGAAGTCACATTTAAATACCATCAACAGTTTGGTGTATCTGATATACACTGAATTCATCACTGCTATAAATTCCTTAAAAGTGTTCTTTTCCTAATGTAACATTATCTTTTTTTAAAAAATGGCATATTTCCCAATATGCATCAGTTCTTTCACTCCACCATTCAGTAAACATTGCAGCAAGTTAAATAGAACCTATTAACTAGATCTAAAAACAATGGCTAATTAACAGAAAAAAGTACTTTTGAGTAAACTAGTCAGATTAGACAGGCTAATGCTAAATAAGACTGCATTTTGTGCTACTGACATATACTATATAGATTGTACACTACTAGATGGAAGATTGGTCCGTGTCCATTTATTTAAAGATTCTGTAATACCTATAACAGTATTTAATACAGCTCCTACATACAATATTCCTCTTACATAGACATAATTATTGTTAGTGAGGATAAGGATATGACTTTAACATGCTATGAGATTCTAGCTAAGTAAAATAAAAACAATATGGGCTCAGGTTTTCTTAGGTAACATTAGTTCAAGTTTTTAAACTGGGAAACAAGCAACTTTCATATACCCAGGAGAAACTTGGCATGGGGGAAGGTGCCTTAGTTGATCTGCCTGATAAAAAAACTGTTAGTTTTCTATTTGTATTATGTTTTCAGCTTAATGTAACAACAAAAGAAAGGAGTCACATTACTTCTCAGATAAGTGATATCAAATACAATCTTGGGGATTGTAATTGGGATTACAATTACAATTGGGATTAAATTGGGATTACAATTACAATCCCCTGGGATATGCCTTATTCATGAAAGCATAGTTCCAATACAAAAGTCAAGTTTTATGAATTACATATTAGGATAGTTTCAGATCAAATACAACAATGTTTAGCACTAACTTTAACATGTTAAAGTTCTGATTCCTGAATGTTTTTCTCACTTAGTATTTTCCCTCCAATGACAATCTGGTGTGTTTGGCTTCTTATGCTGAACCCTATAACAAGTTAACAAAATCATGAATAGTTATTAAATAAGCGCCAGCACTACGTGGAACTTACTGGTCACCAACTCAGAACTATAAAACTACATACACATGCACAAAGAAAACTCCAAAGAGACTGGGCAAGGTGGCTCACACCTATAATCCCAGCACTTTGGGAGGCAGAGGTGGGCGGATCATGAGGTCAGGAGTTTGAGACCAGCCTGACCAACATGGTAAAAGCCCATCTCTGCTAAAAATACAAAATTAGCCGGGTGTGTTGGCGCATGCCTGTAATCACAGCAACTTGAGAGGCTGAGGCAGGAGGATCGCTTAAACCTGTGAGGCAGAGGTTGCAGTGAGCTGAGATCGTGCCACCGCACTCTAGCCTGGACAACCAGAACGAAACTCTGTCTCAAAAAAAACCAAAAAGACAAAAAACAAAAACAAAACAAAACAACACACAAAAAAAACAAAGAAAGATAACTATTACTGTACATTAATACCGTCCAGGATATCAGATCAATTATCAAATTCAAGGTCTCTGCTGTTTTGTCTTACAGTGTTGAGTATCTGAATACTTTTCTATTACACTGACTTGTATTATTTTCACCAAATTATTGACTGGACTCAAAAATCTTACAGTTTTATTTCTAATCATAAAATCCAGATTAATCCAGAAAACATAAACCACATATAACTGAGGTAGGTTTTATACCTTAAGAATACATTACTTCTACCACAATTTAAAATTTAAAAAATTGAAGAAAAAAAAACTACATGCTTCATATACCTGCCTCTGATACTTAATTTTCTACATTTGAAACTACTTGAACAAGTGACAGTGCTAATCTATTATATTTAGTAAATCCCTTAGTACCTAGAAATACACACCCAAAAGCCCTTCCCCCCTTATCTAATGGTAACTGTTGTATAATAAAATTACCAACTCTAGAAAGATGAAATAAAGATTACTATAGCAATTTTCAATTAATGCATTTCAGAAATTGAGGATGCAAGTCATGTTCGTTTTAAAGATGACAAACTTACTATTTTCAAAATGATCTCATAGACACATGAGAACTTTGGATGTGCTTTATTATGTCACAAATTCCCAGGAGATTTAAGAAATAGTATTTCTGAATAGGAATAATAACTTCACAAATACTATCACTTTATTGACAATAGGCAAGTTGTCTAGGGTAGTGCATATGTACTTAAAAACTACCTTCTAACAATCTCAATACTTTTATAAATTTTCCGGGGAAACTGAAGCAGATCCTACTTTATTTTTCAATAGTTACTGTAAAAATCTGTATGTAAAATAAATACATATTTTAAACAGATGGGAGAAAGACTGCATGTGAAATGCTTTGCCTAAGTTGTAATGATCCTGTCTTTATATACTCAGTATCATTATGTTAAAAAGGCCAATAAAATCACTACTAGAAATGTTCCCCAAAAACTGAAAAAAAAATTTTTTTAACAGCTGTCTTTAAAGGTATTAATAACCGATATAACATTTTAAAGTGAAGTGAAATGTTTTTATTTAATGTTTTTATGAATTAAGTAGAAAATTCAAAGTAATTATTTTAATAAAAACCCATATACGAATATATTTTAGGGTTGGATACTGATAGCATTTTCACAAGATCCAAAGTATGGATGAGGAACTAGGCAATAAGGACATGTATGCCACATAACTAAGGGTAATTAAAGATGAGTACAACCAAAGGCAGTAACTGTGCCTGACATACCACCCTGTCATGTGGGCAGCAGATCACCGTTCCCATGCTGGCTAAGAGTCTCCAAGAAGGGAAGCCCTTATGCATTAATTCTGCAAGTATATTAAATTAGGTAATCTAACATTAAACTTTTTCGTGAGCAGTGAATATATATATACATGGACATATGAAAACGGCCCTGGAGACCAGGTTAATTATTAAACTAAAAGAGGAGAAGTGTTGGTAGATTAAATTATGTCAATTCCAGAGTTTTCAATGAAATAAAGATACAACAGCAGCTGCTTCAAAACTAGACTATGATCAGAAACTTCAGATGACAACCTTTAAAAATTCTGGAGTCCAGAGTCTCAACCTAAACCTACATAGGAACTACAGCCAAGGAATTCTTTGTAAGTTTCTCAAGTGATTCTGACGATCAGCCAAGCTCGAAACTTCTGAACTGGGGAAGGCAGAGAGCCAGTCCAGGTAAATGTAGATGCTTTTAGAATTCACATCTGCTATTTATCATTTACTCCACATTTCCCCCCAGCTGTCTCACCTCTCTGTTTCTCTAAAAGTGAATAATAAAAGAGCTTGGCAAGTGAAGGAAAAAGTCAGTAGAGTACCCAAACTGGATCTGACTACATTCAAGCCACTTTCATATATTAACTAGATAAAAGGGTATCATATTGCTGTTTGAAATTCAATGATCAGGCAAAAATTTCATAATGTTCATGTATTTTAAGGGAGGAGGGGGTTCTTAACATGAAAATGTACTATAAAACAATTCTAAATAATAATATTTAATAGAAGAGAAAATTTGTATAATTCTTTAGAAGTAATTCTGTTTTAAAAATTTCAATGTTAAGAAGAAAATCCTCTAAATTTGAAATAGGAGAATATTCTCTCACAGGGAAAAAGTGTGTCACAGTGTTATTCTTCAGCTTGGAAATTAGGCAAAGTATGTTAGTACTATTTCTGCTTACAGAAATATTTCTGCTTAACTTTTTTATATAAATGTTTTAAGTATGAATAACATTTTGCTTTTGATTTTAATACATATGCTAATATAATAAAAATATGGATTTTTCTTTTACACTGACTTTGTACACTTTCCACGCCTGAAGAGTAACTTTTAAAATATCCTATGTTCACTAGCAAACCTTGGAAAAATAAAAAAAGGTAGTACCTACATAAGAAATTTTACATTAAAATTACAATTGTATGTTTTTCAGGAGTTAAAGTGATTCAATTTTTCAATACTCAAACACAAAATAGTAAATTTTTATTTACTATACCACAATTCAAGTATTCTCTTAAATTTATATTTAGTCAACTAGAACATGACAGTGACTTTATAAGAGCTTTGCTTTTAAAAGGTTACTGTTATACAAAAGTATGACTGTATTACTCTAAATTGCTTAGAATATGTGGAAAGAACAAATGACAGTAGACAAAAACCTTTATGAGTGAGTCATTGACACACAAAAGGTCGCACACATCAGTAATAAGGCATTTGTTAAGTAACATCCCAAAAGTATTTGAACTCATGTAAACAATGACTATGTATATTCCTTTAGGGAGAAACTGTACTACCAAAGATAAAATATTCAAAAGCCTGTGACTTTAAACCATATATTAGTTGAATATCACACAAAACCAAAAAGGCATTACCTATCATTTGATAACTGAAAGATATTACTTATTTGTGAGATAAAAGGTTAATGCTTTTTTGAAACCAATAATGAAAGAGAAGTATTCTGAAAATAAACAACTGTTTTCTAGAAATAAATATACATGCTTAGTTATTTTAATGCATTGCAGCATAGGAATATTGTTCTAGCATTGACCATAACATTCAGTAGTTTAAAATATTTTTTCAACACTGGGTCTTGAATCTTCTACCTTGTCAGCTGACCAACAACTTTCAAAAGAGTTTTATTTTCCTGCTTTAGTTGTTCATTTTCATCTTCTATGTCATCTAGGTCCTTAAAGAAAAAAAATATCATACTTTAAAAATACTTAAAAATATTCTAAGGGAGATGAAAACACTACACATTCAAAAATAATTCATACAACCAATTAATTTTGAAATGAGGGCAAGCTCTGAAAACAACTTTAGATGTAATATGTCCCGCCTAAAATGACCATCCATTACTTGAATGTTTATTCTTACAGCAAGTCTATAGGCCAACTCTTAAGATCTTTCAGCTTTTCAGAAGAAGCCAAAAGTCAGAATTTTAAAACTGTGAATCTTCCAATTTTCAATCATCATAAATAAGTTAGTTTTTTAGCTAAACAAACTCCACTTCCCTTCCCTAAAATTGAGGCTAAAAAAAGCTACACATGCAAGCCATATGTGGTATTGAGCCCTAGGCTGCAACCTTGTGTCAAATTAGGCATCAACAGATGCAGGTAAAAGTTCTAGATGCACTCCTACCACTTTGATCTTCAAAGGTGTGTGATGTGGATAACACTCTGGGGAGGTGACAAAACTGAGGCCTACAGAAAAGGGTATCTGGAGAAATATTGAGTTGATCTGGTTCAATTTATATGCTGGACTTTTTTCTATGACATTTTGAAGGAAAGATTTTAGAGCTAAAAATAATTCAAGGCCACTAAATTAAGTATTCACTCTCCAGCTTAAAAAGCATATGATCCAGCTCTTTTTCCCCTATATTAATCCTTGTCCCAAACACACAACCATCTGGTTAAAAACAATTCATCATAAGTTACAGTTAGAACAAACACTATTTCAAGACAGATTCTTTACTGTTAAAAAAAAAGCAGACATTTATAGATTTATCCTTGCAGTTTAAAATAATAAAGCTTGATGTCATCAATTTGAATCACTGCTGTAACAGCATTCTAATACATTCAGTATATTGCCTTTGGATAATAGGTAAATGATTTTAAAATTTACAAGATCAGAATTTGCATTTATTCACAAACTAAATGAATAATGTTGAAAAACATTTGTTAAAACAATAAAAAATATGGGATTTCTAAAATTACAATTGAAATCTACCTAAAATTTAAAATTAAATGATAAAACACATTCATGTACCATTATTAGATTATAAACTCTATAAGAGCAGAGGTTTTATTACTCTTATTAAGGCCTACAGTGCCTAAGACAGTGCAAACCCAACAAGGACATCAAAAATATTTGCAGAAACAGGCCAGGCGTGGTGGCTCATGCCTGTAATCCCAGCACTCGGGGAGGCCAAGGCAGGCGGATCTCTTGAAGCCAGGAGTTCAAGATCAGCCTGGCCAACATGGTGAAACCTTGTCTCTACTAAAAGTACAAAACTTAGCTGGGTGTGGCGGCTCATGCCTGTAATATCAGCTACTAGGGAGGCTGTGGCAGTAGAACTGCCTGAAACTCGGAGGTGGAGGATGCAGTGAGCCGAGATCACACCACTCACTGCATTCCAGCCTGGGCAACACAGTGAGACTCCGTCTCAAAAAAAATAAATAAATAAAAGTTGCAGAAACAGGTAACCTATAGAATGGGAGAAAATATTCACAAACTATGCATCCAACAAAGGCCTAATATCCAGAATCAATAGGGAACTTAAATCAACAAGAAAAGATGACACAATCCTATTAAAAAACGGGCAAAGGACATAAACAGACACTTCTCAAAAGAAATATGGCTGGTCATGGTGGCTCACGCCTGTAATCCCAGCACCTTGGGAAGCTGAGTCAAGCAGATCACTTGAGGTCAGAAGTTCAAGACCAGCCTGGCCAACATGGTGAAACCCCATCTCTACTAAAAATACAAAAATTAGATGGGCATGGTGGCACATGCTTGTACCCAGCTACATGGGGGGCTGAGGCAGGAGGATCACTTGAACTCAGGAGGCAGAGGTTGCAGTGAGCTGAGATTGCACTACTACACTCCAGCCTGGGTGAGAATGAAACTCCATCTTAAAAAAACAAAAAAACAAAGCCCATCGATGACAGACTGGACAGGGAAAATGTGGCACATATACACCATGGAATGCTATGCAGCCGTAAAAAACGATGAGTTTGTGTCCTTTGTAGGGACATGGATGAACCTGGAAACCATCATTCTCAGCAAACTGACACAAGAACAGAAAATCAAATACCGCATGTTCTCACTCATAGGTGGGTGTTGAACAATGAGAACACATGGACACAGGGAGGGGAGCATCACATACTGGGGTGTGTCAGGGGGAAATAAGGGAGGGACAGAGGGGGGTGGGGAATTGGGGAGAGACAGCATGGGGAGAAACGCCAGATATAGGTGATGGGGAGGAAAGCAGAAAATCACACTGCCATGTGTGTACCTATGCAACAATCTTGCATGTTCTTCACATGTACCCCAAAACCTAAAATGCAATAAAAAATAATAAATTAATTTTAAAAAATTCAACCAGTGTTCCAGGAAAAGTAACTAAACCGAAAATAAAGTAGAATATTTACCAATGTAAAAACAAACAAACAAACAAAACTAACAAAAAAAAAGCATACAAGTGGCTAAGAAACATGAAAAATTACTCAGTATCACTAATCAGAGAAGTCAAGTCAAAACC